TTAAACGCTTATGTCACTACCTAAGACTAAGGTCAAACGTCGAACTTCACATGAGCCGAACCTTAATTACATTGAAGAACGCATTGTTAAAATCCATTGTTTCCGATTAGGTTCGGCTCAGGCGAAGTTTGACGTTTGACCGGAGCCTTAGAATGCTAGAAAATATTGGAACAAAATTCAAAGAAAACTTTATCACCTTAATAAAAATGTTTTGAACGAGTTTTTCTTGCTTTTAACTGTTTTCTGTGGAGTTTATAAATGTTTCAGGTTTGTTACCTYTATGAAATGGCCTAGAGCACAAAACATTTGCCTTTTGCATGATTGACTGATTTCCCAAAGTTATGCATGACCTTAAGTATTATTTCGTTATCGCAAACGCTTGAACTTTTCTTACAACTTGAAATGCTGACAAAAGCAGAACATTGCAAGTTGCAGGTGACATCTCAAACACTCGCAACTTGCAACGCATTCTTGGTCTGCGATAAAAACCGGATATGGATTTGGATTTGCGACAGTAGAAAATGGGTAGACTGATTTTATTAAATCGAGAAAGAAAAATGACTTGTTCACACTTTTCCAGTTACAGACTGTACAACAGTTTTCTTGAACTTCATTCGCTGACACGTTGCCGAAAGCTCTATCTTTCGAAAGTAAAAAAGACTGTTCATCTTTTTTATCACTTGGTACTAACGAGTCTACTAGCTATTCGGCGTACTATTTTTTCACGGGTTGAATAAAATCACACACTTTTCCAGTTACAGACTGTACAACAGTTTTCTTGAACTTCATTCGCTGACACGTTGCCGAAAGCTCTATCTTTCGAAAGTAAAAAAKACTGTCAAGACAGATACAAACAAATTGAAGAAATTTTAATGAAAGAATCTGGGAATTACAATGGTGAAATTGAAATGAATYATGAAATGAATAAACATATTTTCAGAAACCAACACTAATACGACTACGACCTTGCCAACTGGTTTGCTTATTGTTCACCACAAAAGATTACCCTGGTAATAGTCCTCTTCCCTTGAATGCTTCGATTGAATTACTGGGAGGGTAAAATAAAGGTATAGTTATGGCGCAAACAGGGGCACCCACATGTTGCACAACCATTCYATATAAGAGCTCTATAGCCCCTACGACATTTGCTTCGGCAGTGTTGTATTAATCAATCGGCTTCAAAAAAGAAACCACGGTACAAACAGTCACGTATGAAGCAACATACAATTATTGCAAGACCACAAAGTAATGACTGKAAAAGGCATAAATATTATTATAAGTCCATACAATGACGAGAAACCGTCTCGCTGCTATACAGCTAGAGTAGATTTCATATTACGATAAAAAAAACCCCGAGATCTCGCGCGCTGTGATTGGTCCAGAGGATGTCGTCCATTTTGTACCGTATCCGTTCCGTGACTTCAGCAGCGTGTTTAGCGCAGTTTTACTGTGATACGAAATCTACTCCAATAATMTAATTACTTGAGATATATATTTTGATGAAAAGAGCCTATCAGTGGGATGGACATGAAGTCCAACCTAAATCACAGGTCAAATGGAATATTTTTTCCCCTAAATTAAACTGGTTGCTTTATATTCCGTTGCGATCAAATTTGTTTATTATCATTCGTTAATAGCGCTCATAAAATTGATGTTTTAAGTTATATGGTACTTGATACAAAATTTGTACTTTTCTCAAAGAGAAATAAAAAAGATCAACTTGTATATCGGAGCGTGTCGATCTCCCCTCTATTCCTTCCCCACCCCTCCCCTATTGGTCCAATTTATATTCATGAATTTCAAAGAGCTAAATGGATGGTAACAGCCCCATCCCTCCCGACCCATGTCTACGATCTCTTATCTTTTTACACATGAACATTTGGTTTTCAATAAATGTAGATGAACGTTCGCATTTACTGAATACTATTGCAATGGGAGTTTTGGGCTCCCTGTGTAGGCGTAAAGGAGCAAGACATGSCTTGTGATCCAATCCCTTGTAACTGTCTTGTGGTCGTTTCCGGTATAAATAACGTATTTTTCCCTGGTGAATCGTTACGAGGTTGATGAACGGCACGTCCAGCATGCTTCTTTACTCTTAGTCTGTTTTGTGCTTGTGTATGTTTTCAGGAGGAGCTGTAGAGAGTAACAGTTGAAAGAATGCATTCAATGCATTTCATTATCACTTGCCCCCCACCCTACTCTCCACCCCCGTTAGCTTGGTATCTAGTATCCTTTCCCCTTTCCACCCTGAGGTTTAAGGCGCTTTGGAAAGAGCTTAACTTTGGCTACGATAATATGAAGCGAACTGTTTCAATACTCCCATTTCAAGTTCGCCTTCGCTCAGTCTTAGCCTCGATTGTGTACAAATGCGTTCTATTCTTAGGTCCATTGTATAGTAAGGAATGTACGTACTACGGAACCATATGAGTTGATTAAAATGCCGCGGGTTTTGGTCGAATAGCAGAACAATGAAATCCCTTTCCTCTCAGGAATTGAGTTCTTTCTCATGTGAGACAATCGTATTGTACCTACATTTTAGTGTATTTGAGGCCCAAGCCCTTCATAGAAAATGTTGACTAGAACCTAGAACCCCATGCAATATAAAGATAATAAATATTTTAATAAGCTAGATACTTACGGATAAGATTTCTAGTGATAAATTTTAAGATTTCATCCACAAGAATGACAGGGAAAGACAAYTTCAGGACTGCCATCCACTCAACCCAGTTAAGAGGAGTTATACGGAAGATAGTCTGACAAGAAAAAATAAATTGTATTTATTGCTTTGAAAATTCACCAACAAACATAATTATAAAAACCAATACAGAAGAAGAGTTTTGGGACATATAGATTCTATTATATGCCATACTGTGGATTCCACTGTTACCAGTAAATTCCCACGTTTTAAAATTTCCATTTCCCATTAATATAATAAGTGATTTTTTCTTCGTTTTTAAACTAAATTTTTTATACACCTAGTTCTTAAATTCCGTCTGAATGTAGTATAACAAAAGATGGTCATTATCAGCATCTTTAGTGGACGTTTTACGACCAAACCGATGCAAAGCAAAGAATACTTACATTACAGAAGGGAACGTAGAGTATRAAGAAATGCATAAGGAAAGATGCAGTTATGGCTATCAGCAATGAAGGGTTTTTCCATGGTGGCATCTTGAGTAAACTTTGGTTTTCTGTCAGACTGCAATAACAAACGAACAAAGAAATTACAGTGAATCTAGCAGCACGTTTCTTGCATGGGGTAAGGATTTTTGTTCCCTTTCCTTAATAAATAGCCCTGGAATTACGTGTTACCAAGAGAGAATAAATAAAAGAAAACGTCTTAACGCGCGTGCCACATAAATTCCCGGTTGGGCTATTTTTAGTGACTGGATACAGTTTAAATTTCTCTTTACCCTACTCCTGTGCGTCATCAACTTGTGCATGCGCTCTTTCTGTTTCGTTTTAGTGATCTTATTTATGCTCTCTTAGTGTTACTCAGACCCAAACAGCACATAAAGGAATAGGAAAAGTAAAAGTTTTGACTTACCTGTTCAGAGCATTTAACATCTCTATGGTGACAAGTACTGATAAAGCCATAGTCATTGGATGGAGGTCACTAAATATAGAACAGTCTACCCCAGCAAAATTGGTAGGGTCATTAGGGCACTGCATGTGATGAGTCTGTGGATACCAATAAACTGGGTCAACAACAAGTATAAGCACATGCATATATATATAATACACATATTTCAGTATATGAGGATATATATAGACCAAGTATTTGTACTGCGGTTATAATGTTTATAATTGAGCTGATCTGCGCAGTATATCAAGCAACTTATGCAGCTGCTAATTAAAAGATTCAGATACTTTATCAGGATGTAAGATAGACAGGTAAAGCAGTTACAGGATGAAATAYCACCATTTGCATTGCTACGCGGCCACCCATGACAAAAATCATGACGTGCACTTTGCAATAGACTGCAGTCAATCAARCACGTTGACATCATTTMCACGCATTTGGATCAGCCCRGTAGGCMCGGTGAGTGTGGATCATAATACTTGTAAGCAATYGACAAGTTTTGGTGCCTTTTGAATCACACACGCGTGTAAATGATGTCAACGTGTTTGATTGACRGCAGTCTATTGCAAAGTGCACKTCRYGATTTTTGTCTGGGGTGGCCGCRTAGCAATGCAAATGGTGGTAAAATTCATTGCAACTCATTCTTCTCTCCAGATCATGCAAGTYGTGTAGCCCTTGTTCTAAGAGTTCCAAGAGTCTGAAGTATTTCTATTTTTTATATAATTTCATGTGAGGTATGAATGTTGCAATCAATGAACCAAAACAAAACATTAGTATTTTTACTAAGCATTTTCATTGGTYTTGCAGAGATTAAATGATTGAGCAGCCCTTTTCCTATAATTTCAAAGAAAGAATGCCATACTCACCAGTTGGTAATAATTCACTTTAGGACCACCTTCATAGAACATAAACCACCAAGCYGAGGCTCCAACAGTTGCCACGCCAACATAAATCCCTATAGCTAAGTAACGGAAGAACAGCCAACCATTGATAAGGGACTCCTTTGGATTACGTGGAGGCTTCTTCATGATGTCTGTGTCAGGGGGGTTGAAGCTGAGGGCTGTAGCTGGGGGTCCATCTGTCATGAGATTGACCCACAGCAGCTGTACTGGGATAAGGGCTTCAGGCATGCCGAGAGCAGCRGTTAGGAAAATACTGAAAGTTGAAATGCAATATCAGGATTAGTATAACCAAGGGAAATTGAAATAGAACCATTAGAAGTTTGTAAGAGGATATAAATCATATCCACAGTCATATTCTCAAAGGGATAACATGTRGTTTGGTACACTATCGCCAAGACTGTTTACGAACATCTGAAAGGGTGTGGTTGCCACATGGCTCAAAAAAAGTATATCTTTGACTCACTGTATATTTTAATACAAGATTTTTTACTAACCTGACGACTTCTCCAATGTTTGATGAAATAAGATATCTTATAAACTGTTTAGTGTTGTCATAGATAGATCTCCCTTCCTCTACAGCAGCTACTATTGTTGAGAAGTTATCATCCGCTAGAATCATTTCTGAAGAAATGGTTAAGAAATTTCTAATAGAATCAAAAAAAACAAACCTCAAACACAATAAGTAAGGACCCCCTTTTCTTATCTAAATACAGTGATCAGAAACTCAAAGCCTTCCTTGAATAAGAGAAACCAGTGAGGGTATGAAGAACAGAACATAGAACAGGAGAAGACCTCCATGTTTATGATGTTACAACATACTGGCTCAAGGTTTGCAAGAATTCTCAGAGAATGGATTGACTTTTACATCATCTCACTARTAAATGAATTAAGGGAGGGAATGTGAAATGGAAAGGAAAATAAAGGAGAGGAAAAGAAATGAGAAGAACRAAAAAGGAGGAAGGAAAAATGAAAGAAAAGAAAAAGAAGAGAGTAATATAGGGAGGAAAATGAAAATGATGTGCATGTAAGTGGACATGGAAAAGATAGCAAAGCAAAGATAAATAGAAGACGAAAAAAGGAAAGAAAAGGAAAGGAAAAATAAACTGTAACTATCATATATCTGCTATTTGTGACAGAATATACCAGCATTGTAAACTGAAAAGGATACCAGAAGCACTCTTAGCAACAGCAGTGCCTGATCCCATGGCAACACCAATCTCAGCCTTCTTCAAGGCAGGAGCATCATTGACTCCATCACCTGTCATGGCAGAAATCTCTCCTTCTGCTTGTAGATACTCTACTATTTTACTCTTGTGGGATGGCTCTACTCTTGAAAAAAGTCTGCRGGAAAAACCATGACATTTTTGTTTTAAAAAGGCCATACAGTCCATGGAAGTATGCGATGTAAGTTATACCCTCATTAGACCCATCCGCCCACTAATAATTCAGTTTCTAATGTAGTAAGGCAACGATAGAATCTGATACTACACATTTGATCTATAAATTTGCCATCTCAGGATGGTTTACCCACAATTATAGCAAGGTGATTGCTTGATGACTCATTTACCTTGCACTTTGGCATGCCTCTCTTTGTTCCTCCTGTGTTAGGTCATCAAACTCTCGTCCAGAATAAGAGAGCCCTACACAAAAAATAACATGCGTAATAGGTAAATTACGAGCCTTGTATGAAACGACTGAAGGAGAGGGCCAACGGACCTTTCACAACTTCAACTTCAAAAAATGTGCCAGCTCAACTAGAAACCATGGACAGATAACAGATTATTATGATCATATCRTGAAACTATGGTGGAAGTTGAAATCAAGAATAGCAGGAAAAAACAAAGAAACAAACTAACAAATGTACAGCGGATGGGTGAGGATGGACAGATAGACAAAGACAGGCAGATGAGGAAATGAATAAACCACACAAGTATCAAGAAAATCATTTTAGTAATAACTACCTGTGGTGTTTTCATCTGGTTTAAAGATATTAATTCTCCTACAGATGGCTTCAGCTGTAGCCTGGAAATGATTAAAAATACAAAGGATATCCCAAATGAACTCAGTTTTCAATGTTAAAGGAACTTGGTATTTTCAAGCTGCCTGTTAAAATTTGTTTTTAAATAACACTATTCAACAATGCAAAACATACTGACTGACTATTCTTGACTGACGGCARTGGGAAAAAAATTTCAACATGCAGCTCACAATTACAGAGTTTGCATAATTTTGATAACTGCTAGAATAGTGCAATAGGCCCTTTGCACATAGCAAGCACATGCTGATATATCACAATACAGCTCAAGGTCCCTTGGGGAAGCTCGTGAATGGCAAACAAACTTTAAAATGTTTAACATTTTGAAACAGAAAGTATCTTATAAGGGAAAAATAATATTTTAACCCAAGGTTTGCAAATGATATTATCAAACTCATTAATAATTCATGAGGAAAAACCCAACAGAAATCACAACCTTGAAGAGTTTTGTAAATCAGATACAGAATCCTGTTTATTTGGATAAACTTTAAGATGGATTTTCTTGGCCAGATTCACTTTTATCTTGAAAATTTGTAGCGAAACACAAAGGAACTAACCTAGACGTTTGATAAGTAATCTAYAGTATTCGTGTCTGTGTTGTATCCGATATACAAACTCTTGGCGTATCRGATACAACATGGCCACTCATACTGTATATATTACTTAGATTTTTGCCCTCAAGTAACAGTGATGTGATTATGTCCTTCAAAGAGCCTATYGTGTTGCTATAGTAATATTAGACTGTACCTTGTTGTCTCCTGTGATGACAATGACTCTTATGCCTGCATTTTYGCACTTGATAATGGCTTCAGCTACTTCAGCTCGTGGTGGATCAAGCATACCGGCAACTCCCACAAATGTCATACCAGCCTAAAAATAACAAATATGAAGCATGTCAAACTATTACAGTGGATATTWTATACCTGAGCAAATGTATAGCACACAGAAGTCTGTTATACTACACAATAGAGGACTTGCAATAATTGGTCCTACCTCCCTTAAAGGCAACAAATTAATTAGCCAGATTTGGCACCAATRATTTAGCAAGTTTACTGTGCCATGCTCCGTACTGTGAACACTTCTACAAGTTTTTATTTCTTTTTAACAACTTTTTATTGTGCTCCTTTTTGCTTACCAATTTAGACATCAGGGCCCAGTTGTATGAAGGRTGGATAGCACTATCCAATGGATAAATCATAAAACAATGCAGTTATCCAATGAATTTATCCACTGGATAAAATTTATCCATCAGATAGAGCCATCCATCCATCCTTCGTACAACCGGGCAAAGTACTYCAATAGTGAAGCACCAATACACAATTGTTTAGCACTAAAGATCACTGTTAAAACTTGTCAAAAAGTTGTCAAAATGAAATCAAAAAACTCGTAGAAGTGTTCAATGTACAGTGTATGGAACAGTAATAAACCAAAACGCAAATATTTTTTGATCCACTTCTGATAGTWATGGAAAATAATGGAAAAAAGATTTATTGATACCAGCAACAATCCAGAATGGCAAAACTTACTTCATATTTGATAAAGTTTTCTGAATTCTCCAAGTCCATCTTCTTAGGCRATAATGGTTCATCAATAGTTGCCAAGGCCAGACAGCGAAGTGTATCACTTCCTGCATCATGATTGTAAAAAATAATTGATTTCTTGWATATACAGCTGTTATATGGCATATTTTGAGAATAATATGCAATTAGTTATAGAAAATGCTTTTTTAAAATGTCTGTATGTGAGAAGTAGTGAGGTGGAGAAGTGGATTTTAATAAATTAAAATGTATAGAATAAAAACAATACAACCCTACTATTGTGTAGTGGAGYCAATAAGAAAGCAGCAAAAAACAAAAGCCTTTACACATATCTTTGTGCTCCCATGAGAAAATGGCAATGGCTACGTAGTTGCTTACATGTAACATCAGGGTCAAATTACTATTTTTGTCCAGTTAGATTTCTGATTGGCTCCACTACCCAAATTTGGAATGCACTGTTTTCATTCTACATTTTAATTGGTTTTCTTGTCTACCTGGTGTTAATCAAATCCAACTAGAAGTCTATCATCAATGCCGCATTCTGATTGGATGAGCTGCTAGTAGGCTATAAGTTATTTCCTACTAGTAGTGAAAAGTGCCGGCTTTGAAAGCCATCTAAATATTATGTTTGCATCTAAATATTTGACCAACTAGTTGGATTTGACTAAAGCAATTAGTCCTCTCACCCTCATAGCCCATTTGTGCTCAAGGACTAATAGCTAATAAGTGGCCCAACTCATAGCAGTTGCACTGCAATGAAGATCATACCTGTGCCATAAGACAATACAAGATCAAGTATTTGCTGTCTTAATTTAGGTGTCAGAGGATGTTTGGTCTTGCCTACTCTCACAAACTCACATCTATCAAGAATACTTTCTGGAGCACCCTGTAACAAAACAACAAGATTCCCATCAGTGAAAATGATTCAAGCATCTTTAAAACATTTGTGTTATTTGTAAAATCATCCATGACAGACAATATGTCATGTGAAACAAAAATAATAAAGATTAAAGTACTCTATCTAGAGAGCCCTTGATCACAGTGGAAGCACTTTAACAATATAGCTCTAATGCAGTCCTCAGGGTTTTAAAGTGTCAGTCTAAAATTTCAATGGTCATTGATTGTCTTCCTATATCTAGTTCCCCAAGAAACATTTTTTTAATCACTCTCTCRTGTAGAATACATTGATGTAAGCGCAAAACATAAAACCCACCTTGACGAACATCTTTGGTTCTTTGCCCAGTACAGAATTGAGTCCATCTATGCTAGGAGTACAGTAAACACTCATGGATTTCCTGTCTCTTGAAAACTCAAGGGTGAAATCCTGTGAAACAATCATTCAAAATAGAACTTTCATATAAGATAGTCCATATTTATAATATTTCAAGGTAGATTTTATTTCACTAAAAACCAATTTTGTCATGCCTAAAGGACTTTGGACATAAATTTGATGTCAAGGCTAGACAAGGTTATTCTATCATCAATGCTGCATCCTGATTGGATGAGCTACTACTAGGCTATAGGTATATATCCTTATATCCCACTAGTATTGAAAAGTCACGTTCGAATACATGTATCTGATTAACCTCAATTCCCTGCTCTCTTATTCTCAACTTTGAGGAGCACTTACATAACCATAATAAACTGTTATCCCTTACTGTACTTGGAATTATCCTACCAAAACTGAAAAACTATTGTACCCATGCAAAGTGCACCTTAAATTTCAAGATGCTAATAAGGACAAATATAGCACTTTTTGTAAGAAGTAAAATATAGTTGATYGATTGACCAGCACTTAGCTGTCCATTTTTGTCTAAAAAGAGAACTTCTCTCATATGTTAAGGGAACATAATATCAGTCAGAGTCAAGACTTGGTGCTTGACTAAGTGCTGAGTGGTCAATAATGGGAACCAGTTCACTAAATGCRGAAGTAAGATATAATAAATAAATAATTACCTTAGTGAAATGCTCTTTGATGTTCTCATTACAAGCATGAGCGAGGTCAGATTTGCCTTTACCAGCCAAGTTGAGGCCAAAGACATTGAGTTTTTCAACCAATACTGATAGGGCTGTCTCAGTCGCTTCACCAACCTTTTCATAACACTTACGTGCCTAAAACAGAACATCAAAATACTTAGTATTACATCTCAGATACTGGTTTTTCTAGTACCACACTTTGATRAATGACCAAATGGATGGATAGATATTAAAATGAATTGATACATGAATGGATAGATGTATTAACAAATAAAACAGAGGAAGGAARGTAGGGAGGAAAAGGAGAAAAAACGAAAAGACAGAGGGGGGATTGAATGGAAAATGGAAGGAGAGAAAGGGAGTAAGGGAAAGAATAAATGTTAAATTTATCATTTCTTAGTGTGAACAACTAAAACAATTTATTAATATCTAGAACATCATATAAATGGTTAGTGTTTACTTACTGCATTGTAGTCAAGACTGGAATCATTGCAAAGAGCACAAATACAAGCAAACTCTGCTAGAGCATCATATGAAGAGGAATTAATTTCTTTTCCATTCTCAGTTCTGAAACCATTGAAGTATGTACCAGTTTAGCTTTTTTAGATTTGTACATAGTTAGATTTATTTTGAAGAAAAAAATGTTTAACCAGATATTAAGATTAATACCTGTATATTATTTAACCYGATAACTTATTTACTTACACTTTACCAACTGGGTCGTATGTTGTCCCTTCAACACAGAATTCATGGAATTCAGCATAACTCCTTTTGATTTCTTTCAGTATAAAAAACTGTATTATAAATGAAAGAGTTAGGAAACCTAAGTTAGAATTCAGTAATAAGACAACGTTTCCAGTTGACGATGTAATTTCCTTTTTGACAGRCACTATTTTCTATATTCATTACCTTAGTGACAGACATTTTGTTAGTGGTAAGTGTTCCYGTTTTGTCTGAACAAATAACCGAGGTACACCCTAAGGTCTCCACTGAAGGCAGACTTCTGACTATAGCGTTCTTTTTGGCCATTCTTCTTGTACCTAAAAGAAACAACAAAGGGGTTAAAATAAATGGGCTGGAGACTGCGTATCGGGTCTGGGGCTAGTTCTGCTGAAGCATAGTGGTCAACAATAGCACAACTGACTGACAATGCACAGTCAGCAYTTGCCGACACATCACCTTACTCACTTGTGTTTACAAAAAATTTCATTATGAGGACAAAGTGCATGAATTTTCATTTTGACTCAGAAAAGCATTCATACGGTGGCCAATGTTTTGGATGTTCACAAGCTAAACAATTAGATCAATATCCCCATCCATCCAGAACAAGCAAGCTCAATGCAGGGAATATAGTTTTTCAAAGATCTCCCTTTTTATTGATAACAGCAGGATAGATCAAGAATGGGTCTAAATATAGAGGTAGCCATTGCAACCATACAAATAAGCATTCAAAATAGATAACAAGATATGTTAAAAATTACATTAAAATCATACCTAAAGCTAGGCAGGTGGTTATAACAGCAGGAAGACCTTCTGGAATAGCAGCAACAGCTAAAGCAACAGCTATTTTGAAGTAATAAATAGCACCCTAGGAAGATAGAATACAAGGATTAAGACATGACTATGTAATATAACCTTTATATGACTTAATATGGCTAAAGGCATTAAAWAGGAAGCGTTTAATAGTACCTTAAGCCAGGATCCGCCATGAATTGGATCATTAAAATGACCAATATTGATGGCCCAGACAGCTATACATATCACTGTTATGACCTGCAGCAAAGTAATAAGGATGTTCTATTACACTAAACACATAACTCCCTTTGATAACGATCATGTAAGGGATTTAAATTGTGTAATTTCAAGAAGGTAAGACCATCTTTTTACACTTATAGCTTCAAATGAAGGATAAACATTAATTTTGTCTGAAAGATTAGTGTCTGTTTTTCCTTAAATGGCATCCTATATCCATTCATGATAACMTTATTCACCCATCCATCCATTCATTTTCATTATTTTSYCACTTTCCTTTGGATCCATTTTCCTTATTATCATATGACCTATGAAAATCCTGCAATTCGATTGGCTGAGAGGAGTATAAACAAATATAAGCATAGTTTGGCTGTGATATTTGGCATAAATACCACTCATGATATTYCAAAATAGCTTGTAATTTCAAAATATCACTTAAACCACGCTATTACCTATAMTAATATGATTGAATACCAACTACAAAGTAACTAACTAACCTTTGACAGTTGTTCACCAAATTCATCTAACTTTTGTTGAAGTGGAGTCTTTTCACCTTCGGTATCAACCATTTGGTTTCTTATCTTACCTATGGTGCAAGCAGTGATCAGTAAGTTAATAACACAGTATTCAATGGTACAATTTCAAATACATTCAAGTATTTAGATACCTATTTCGGTATTAAGTCCAGTTCCTATAACAATGCCACAGCATTTTCCTGATGAAATGTTAGTTCCCTACGTTAAAAAAAGATAACCATTAAACATTATTAGCACCTTTATTGTTATTAATGGGACTTTGAGGATCTGCATGGTTTGATTAGCTGGATCAGGATGTTTATAATGTAATCAGTGAGATATCTCAGGTGAAACACGGAACATAGAAATCATCATCTCCAGCCGATTATCATAATCATGGCTAAAATTAACAGCTACTCGACGATAGCCAGGCATCATGACTAACCACATAACACTGATCAACGTGTTACAAGTCCATGTGGCAGGACAAGAGGACAAGACTTAAAGAGGTGTTTGGCAAAACAAGTACCAATTTTGGTCGTACATTCTGCCTGCTGATTAGCTGTCTTTCTAATAGGCTTTGGTATATTTGACTGATAGAAGCATTTACATAATTATTACGCAATTAGAAAACTGCAACACAAAATACAGTATTTTTTTCTAGAGAGTTTAGAATATCTTGTGTTTTATCTGACCATCAATTCCAAAATATCACAAATCACTTTTCAATTAAAACGGCTAAATTTGCTTAGTTGACACACTTACCGAGAACAGCATATTAGTCTTGTCTTGATTGACAGCTTTTTTGTCTGGTATTGCATCTGTATGCTTGATAACACTCATGCTTTCACCTAAAACAATAGACTTTGATTTTAGTGGGAAATCTCATTTCATCTATTTATTGCCTGATTGAAAGTTAATATTAGCAACAATTAAGAAATAAATTAATCAAAATATATAAATCTGAAAAATTAAAAATTTTTATTGTTAATCTTTAGAAAATTATACTGGTCAATATTTATGATTTATTAATGCTGTTTTATTAACCCTCGAGAACAAGCTGTCAATCTGATAATTTCTGCATTAGTAGAAATGTGGTCTGATTTAAAGTGGAACTATAGATCAAACCAGATTAAATAAATCACAGACATATATCTGACAAACAAACATTTATTTCATTTTTATTCATACCTGTGAGTATAGACTGATCAACTCTCAATGTAGTTGACTTGATATGGATAACAYGGATATCTGCAGGTACTTTGTCACCAACTGTAACATTGAACAACAACAAAAAAAGCAAATTATTAAATAATAAAAGAATAGTATATCATATTGAATATTATTCAGAAAATAGAAAATAACTTTGGTACATAAAATATCAAATTATGCAAGCATATTGTTGGCTTTCAATTATTCCCAAGAGAATGAAATAACAAAAGACACTACGGCCATGTTGGATGATATAACAAAGAGACTAATGACAATTTTTTTTGTTAAATTCATCCAACTTGGAGGCTGTGAAAACCATCAATATAGTAATAGCCAAAAATAATCAAAATTATAGGCTGAACTTTTACTAAGATGAAGAAATCCTGGTAAAAATTCTTCCAAAAGAAAGGATTTATTAATCTTTCAAACATTTTTTGTATAAAATGATTGTTGAGCAACATTCATATTAATAGCAACTCAAAACTTCTGGTCTGGAAATGAAGAGATCAATGACAAGATATCTTATATAGCAAGTGAAGTATTTAAATACAAAAGGGATTTCAAAAGCTGCTTAATACTTAGTACTCTATTCTAATTGCTACATGTACCAATATTATTTACACATGGATTAAATTAAAAGCAAACAATACTAAGCAGCAAAGGATGACTGGATCGAAAAGTTTTTGGATATTACCGTAATTCCAGTTTAGTATGATAATAAATTTAATCATGATGATCATACTTGATAATACTACAACAAATTAAATAATAAAGACAAGATTCTGACATGAATTAGCCATTTTCTTCAATGCTAAATACTAATATATTCCAAACAAAGACCATTGTTACTGGAGTAATGGATTTCTTGCATGCTAGTTCAACAATCAAACCAGAAACTGTACACTTGACAGGATAAACAATAGAATTCCAGTAATGCAACTCAGTTCCTATGACAACAAACCATTTTAAGTATCATTAAAAGTGGAAAAAAAATTACAAGTTTTTGGAGTGCAAACTATAAACATGAAATGATTTACAAATCTTTATTTATTTCATGAATTGTTGTGGTGATATCTAATCGATTTTACCAACTGAATAAAATGTAGGTGTAAATTTTGATTGTAAAGGCAGGAAAAATTGTTAAGGAAATTTATTATTGAACACTTTTTTAAAGTGAAAACAGATTTATTACTGTAACCAGAGCTGCAGGTTGTAAAAAATATTATGCTTCAGAAAAAATAATAAAAGATGATTTTCAAGAAACTTGACCTGTTGAAAACCACTACCTTATCATCACATAAATAATTCAGTTTCCTGAATTCAGAAAAGAATTCAATCAATAATTTAAAAAACCATCCTATAAAACATATTTCCTCTTCAAACAATTCCCAAAACACTTGAAATTATAATTTAGAGTAATAGAACCTCTAGGACTTTTAAGTCAATTTCACAGCTTCTTTCTGTTTGTTTTTTTTTTCATTTATTTAAGTGATGAATGTCTAACTGTCAAGATATTGAGATTACTGGGTGAAATATGGTGTAGCTGGCTGTACTGAAGGTTTTAAGAAGATACTAATGATTAAAGAAAAAAAGTTAATTGTCTGTTGAAAAAAACACTGGATTGTATGATTCCTGGTACTTGGGACTGAACTTACTCCTATTGCGTAGCCTCTTCTATTGATGTCTTTTTATGTATTATACCAAAAACTATTTCTTAAAATTCTGCTAAGGAATACAGATTGCTGTGGCAAGACAAAAAAATATGGCTGAAGATTGTTGTGATATCTCATAATTAATTATGCAAGTTAATTATGCTTTATGTAGCTTTGAGAAAGGAAACATTTGAACACCTGACTTTTGTATTTTCCCATCAATGATTACATTAAACTGTAAGTTAACAAATACCAGGAATATTTCACAGCAGTTCTCTCGTATTCGTTTTCAAAAGGCTAACAAAATGTCCAACTCCTTAAGGAAATACAGAAAACAAGAGATGAATCAGAATTTCAGATTACCACTGCATCTCAAAGACAGATGAAAAGTGTATTCTAATACACTCATGAGTTCTAAAATAAATTCATTTATGATGCGGAAGAGACTACTGTTTTTACAAAGTATTAATTGAGACAATTTGGAATGTTGTGTATTTTTTGATTCAAAGAAAGAGGAATGTTCCATAGGGTGTGGTAGATAAATAAAAACTGATACAAACACTGCAAATGTGTCTAACAAATTAATTACTTTAAGGAGAGCAAAAAAATATATAAAAGTGTATATTCAAAATTAATTATATAAAAATTATTATGATTGATTTGAGTTTGAAAGAAATAATTAAATATATGGTTTGAACAATCTTTACGATGTGACATGGGTATTTTATGAAATATCTCTTGTTCAAAGCTAGAGCAAATAAGTCATGGACAAAACCAATACCATTCCGATCTACTTCTAGGTTTGAGATTGTGATCAACTCAAGAAAGGACTAAATTAATGGTTGGCCCGAAGGAATGAAAAACAAGCAAAAAAAAAACCTGCTTCTTTAATAATAACATTATTTTGACCTAAATCTACTATGAATGTGAAAATTTAGCCAATATCACGAAGCTATAAATGAAGGTAATTCTAGCTTTTAATATTGGTAAGTTTCTAAGAATTGGTTTAAGATCAAAGGGATTTCAAGGTTTGATAAGGAGATTGCTTGCTGTTCGTATTGGTTAGTTGGGGGGAAAACATCATGGTACATGGCTACACAGTGCTACATTCATGTATCTTACCCTCTTAGGAATTTGAAATACAAATAACTGTCTGTGTTTATGTTTGAAGTATTACTATGGATTTGAAAATGCCAGTAAAAGCAACCCTACTTTTCCAACTCAATATCAACTATCACTCAATAACCAACTACGTCCAAAAAACATTATCTAAATAGGATTAAGGAGAAAGGTCTTGAGGTAATTTCTTACCCATCGTGTTCATGTACATGTTATGAAATAGTAAAATTTCTCAGTTAAGGTAAATATAGTGCCAAAAGCTATGTGACAACAATTCAAACATTCTAATTTAGAATTTATTCAGTTGAGGTTATGATATTATTGAGTTGAAGCTAGAGCTCATTTTATGCCTAATGGGAAAAGAGGAGTACTGAAAAATGGAAGGGAGCTTAGTAATGAAATAAGCCACCTATTTGATTAGAAATTTATAGTGAAAAGCAAAAAATTAGTCAACGCCAATCGTAAACAAAGTCAAGAGTTTTAAACAAGAGAAATGTTATAAATAAGATCGAGGGGAAAACTTGGCCAGAATATGGGCTTTTTTTTTGAACTTTTTCACATACCTGCGACTTCCACAACATCACCGGGAACGAGATCTCGAGCTTTTATCTTTTGAACGATTGGTCGATCTTGTCGAAGAACTTTTGCTATCTCTGGTTCATATTGTTTTAAGGCCTCGATAGCGTTTTCTGCGTTTCTTTCCTGTTTAGTAATAAAGTTATTTAATATAAACTCTATTATTTCATACTGATCTAAAATGGGTTAGGGATCATCAAGCAGCGATTGCTTTGGCCAAGAATTAAGACTACTGAATGAATCAAATACAGTACTTGCCTGCCAAACTCCAATAATCGCATTTAAGACGAGAATTACGAGGATAACCAGGGGTTCGACAAAGGCTGTGGTTTGATCTTCTCCTTCTTCGAACAGAGCTAAAACCTAACAAATGACGGGAAGGAAAAGGGCATCCATGAATGGGTTTCATTTGGAATGGATGAACAGTAAAGCGGCTTACTACACTTTGAACTTCCTTATACTTACAAATGATATCACGGCTGCGATCAGAAGGATTTTGATCAATAAATCGTCGAATTGCTCAAGAACAAGCTTCCATAAAGGTTTGCCTAGAAATTTCATTACAAAAGAATGGACAAATTAGGAATTTCTTTGGCAGTCTCACACTAGTTGTCAGAAGGTTTAAATGCACAAGTCAAAAGATTTGATTTTAATATTATGTCGAGACGAGGAACATTTCTTACCTTCTTCAGCTGGTAGTTCTGTTTTCCGGACAAAGGCAATAGATAAAAGTCGATAAATTAAAAGGAAAGAGGAAAGAAGAAATTAGTATATTTCGGTGTTTTTGGACAATGACTCTCGCCAGTTGGGCAACACAAATTTAATGTTTGACGTATTTACTCGAGAACCGCGTATAAACAGTTAAACATCCAAAGACAAAAATACTAAATGCTAGCCTTACTCACCATTAGGACCATAAGTTTTTTGTAACTTTTTAACTTGCTCCAAGCTTAGCCCTTTGCTTTCCAGCACATTAAAATGTTTTAAGACTTCATCCACCGGTAAAGTGTGTGCGGCCTCCATTGCTTACAGACTTAAAATACTTCTAGTTTGATTACCCCAAATATTTAACTGCCAGTTCAATCTATCTATGTCAAGGTTGTCTAGAGTGAGTATGAAAAACGAAGAACCAAGGTGATTTAAACCATTTTTTCAAGTGAAAACCGGTGTCCCTTCAAACAGCATGCTCTGTGGATGGACGTAATAGACGCTGCCTATGATTAAACCTACACGCGGCCTGGACGCGGCCCAAACTGATTGGATAACATACTGTCACGTGATTACTATTGAATTTTGTTGTTTCCAGGCCTATGCACAATATGGATCCCCTTAGCTTGCAATGAGTCAGCTTTTCAGTAGTGTAACGTCGCCTTAGATTTACACTTACTTGCAAGAAGGTTGTCATACAAGAATAGAACATTAGTAATTTAGTGAGAAAGGAATACATTAAATGACAAAAGAAAATGTTCAGCTTCAGTGATCTTCTTTTGTTTTTTAATATAATTCCTATCCCACTAAATCACTGTTCTATTTTCGTATGACGTTCTTGCAAAAAGGGTGTATCTTGCATCATTTTCCGCTATTTTTTGCTGTTCTAGTTTCATGTAAAAATAAAGGGGGAGATAAAGTCTGAGATTAAGAAATAAGCCATTTTTCTTGCATGACTTATTTTTTAAACTGGCGAGTCAACAAAGTTGATTCTAAAATACAGCAATCATGCAACATGTCTATTTTCGCTCACCTGCAATCTTATGCCTTCAAAAACCATTCACTTTTAACATTTCACTGATATTTTCCTAACATTCAAATATTTTTTCTAAACTTTCAATTATAATATAGAATTTGTCCAATAGCCTTAGAACAACTGTCTTCCTTTATTTCATTACACTTAGTCTTTGCCCTTCCCTCCTTTGAAAATGCCCACTTTATTTCGTCCCCCTTCAGAATTTTCATCGTTCATTCTTAGCATATACCCTCCAAGCCAATCTTCCTTCAGTGTCTTATCTCATCATCTCCAGTCATCAGCTCGGTATTAAGATATTTCCAGTCCCCAAGAGGAGGGAAAAAGAACATTTAAAATAGCAGATTCCTGGAGAAGCAATTTTTGCCCAACTATAAAAAAGAAACAAATTCATATTTATATAAACTTATTTATACAGCACACTTTCCTAGGTTGCAATAATCTGTTTTCCTCTTTCATTTTGGTTTAATATGTTTGTTTTTTTTCAAATTATTATAAGTTCTTTTACCCAAGTTTTAGACAAACCATAGTTGATTGAAATTAATGAAATAACTAAATGTAGAAACTTTACAATTTTATTTCAATTTGAATTAGTATTTTACAGAGTAAAAGATAAGACAACATTGACATCATGTAATATTTACAACAAACTCCTCAAAAATCGGTGCAACACCCAACTACTTCTTCCTCGCTTCTAAGTATATGATGCTATCAAATAAAACATGCTGGTTATAGATTGATCTACTTTCTTCGCTGGAAAACATTGCCTCCTCTTCCTGGAGGACCACCTCCTCTGCCACCTCGCCCTCTTGCAGCAGCTGCAATAGAATAATTTAAAAAGTCAGGTACGAAAGACTATGGATCAAAAGACATTTTGACATTATCTTCATTGTAACAGTTTCAGTGTCAGATGGTAGTGCATGTGGTTATCAATCACGTAACCTTCAGTAAGGTGGTTATTTTTATCATCATGTATGAAACTGTTACAATCATGAAGTGCTCAATACTACACAGCAATCAACTCTTTCCCCACCACAACTCCCCCCCAATCCAATTGATTTTTCCAAATTTTCCACTTTAATTGGTCAAATCTTCTCTATGTAACTATAAATTTTGTTTGTCCCTTATTTACTGGAGTCATCATTCTAACATTACCCACTGCATTCAAATCTATGCATACAACTCTCAGACCACATGTTGTATCACACTGCATTGATCAAAACATGATCTTAAGAATCATTTTACATACCTTGTGCTCTTAATATAGCTGATTTTCCTCGTCCTGCCGCTCCAGTACCACTGGATCCTTTTTGTGTCATTTTCTTAAACATGGGCGCATTTTTTAACATATCTGGTAAGATCAGAAATCGAATTTTACTACCGCGAATAAATACTTGCTCCAGTAACGATACTTTTCCATCTCTCGTTGTAACAGTAATGTTCGACAATTGACAGTTCATGTTATCTTCAGCCTCAATAAGTTTGCCTCTGTATACTTCTCCATTGAGAGTTTCTAAAGTTATAACGTGTCCCTCTGCTTCGTGTAAAATCTTGATTGGAACTCCAATAGACATTTCTGCGTATAGTTTGATAACCCTTTCAACGAATAATTACAGTAATAGAAGCATAGATAGTATTCCCGGACGGCGATGGAAAAGATTGTAAAGTCCACACTACTTCAGCGAAACGTTCCCGAAGTCGTTCTGCAAACGTATTCCTTCAAAGCGTCTTACAGAGTAACCAGGCCAGCGTGAAAAACAGCATGCATTCTCGTTCCCAGACCCTACTCATAGGTCTGGGAACAAGAAAGAGAAGTTAGAAAAATGCGACTTCTTTTGTGTGTTTTTGTTATATTAGTGGCAAAACCTTTTTTTTTTAATCCAGTATATTATTCTAAGTCGTATCGTTTAAAACAGGAGGAAATGTATAGAGGAATGACGATCTTTATTGAGGAAATTACAAATAAAGCAAACTCTCATATTATTATCCTTCTATCTTTACATTATCTAGTAGAATGTCGTTTGCAAAATACAAAAAATATTCAAGTTTACTCGATTTGTATTTACTTTTTTTGTCTGTTGCGTTTTTCTAAAATGGGTTCCCTGTGCTAATTTGGTCTGTGGATCGGCCATTGGCCGTCAAACAGGTTTACAACAAGTTTACAACAAGTTTAAAACAGGTTTTATCCCTCCTTTCGAGTCTATCAAGTAATGTTATAAGAATTAAATTTTAGATCAAAATTTTATTTTATTTTTATTATTTATATTTCATAACGAAAATTTATCCTATTTAATTTTTGTTACAAGAATTTTTCATTCTTATGCGTCATTTTTAGTGAGATGTTTAATTTTGGTTTCGATTACTTCATAAATCCGAAAATAGAGGCATTTTGACGTCCCGGAATTTTGATTGATTACCAGATTCTTCATAAACCTCAAACTAATGAACCGAACCCGAAAGCTTAGGTCTGCACTTCTTGTACTTCGTGTACGTACTAGTATTTCGAGTATTTTCGCCCTTGTTTAAGAGATAGGATTCCTTCTTTCCTCTGAATGTTACGGCTTCAGACAAACATTCCTCATGTGCGACAAAAATATAACTGGGATTGTGGACTAGCCTGTGTTCAAATGGTCCTAAAAAGGCTTTTCCCCGATTCGTTTAGCGATGCGGATTTCGAAGTTGTTTGCGAACAACAAGGATTTGGTACAAGCGTTTGGACCATCGATATTGCTAATATTTTGACTTATTACAAGGCGGATTACATATTTTATACCGAAACTCTTGGAGTAGATTTGGGATATCAGGACAATCCTTTCTATCAGGATACATTTGACATGGACGAAGTTCGGGTTAATCGTCTGTTTTCCAGTGCGACAGACCTTGATATCAAAGTTGAAAAAAGGTGAACCATTAATTTAGTTAGCTCGTATATCGTTAAGTTTGTGTGCGTGATGTCCTACACGTATTTGCATGGTGGTCGTAAAACATGGCCAAGACAAAAAGGAATGTAGGATTTTGGATCAGGACAACTGCAATCCATTGCCCTACTCATTCCTATTGCTACTTTGGTGCTCATGCACTTTTTTATTATCTTTTCCAATTTTTTCCATCATGTTGTTTTTATTCATATTTAAATATTCGCTGAAGGCAAAATGATTATCTGTGAAATACTACCATTTTTGTTCAAGCATATCGTTTGTTTATGTTCGAAATGCTTGAATAAGAATGTCGCTATTTACTGAGCCATGAGTCTTCAACCGGCGATGTCAACTGGAGAGGTTAAATATCACCAAAATCACTGAGCCTGAGGGGAATAATAATTGTTTTAGTATAATTTTAGACTTGAATATCAGAGTAAAGATGAAATTAATGATTTAAAAAATAGAATGTTTCGGCATTATCTCCACTCTGGCAAACTTTGGGAATAAACCTCATGAAGAACACTAGAGCAGTGATTTAATTGTCTCAGATTCACTGGTTGCTTGACCAATCACAATGCGATAAATTCTATATTCAAGTTTAAAATTATACTAAAATCATCCAACCACTTAAATCTTAAATATTAAAAAAAAACATGATAGAGTGCAAACAATATAACTGTGAAACTTTAGTAATACTAAATAGCACAATTTCATGCAAATTCCATTGTTTTCTATTGTTTAATTAGCACTATTTCGTACTATTTAGTAATTAGTGTTTCACGGATTGTTTGCACTCTACTTTGAAAATTTTATTAAAATTGTAACCTTATTGAAATTGCCAATTGCTTTAGTCAAATCCAACTAATCAGTCAAATATGTAGATGCAAACAAGTCTTAAATTAAAGTCAAATTTGATGCTTTGTTTTTTAATAATTTTTAATAATTAATATTTTTTACCACAGCTTTTCACTACTAGAATCTGGTTCATAGTCTAATAGTAGCTCATCCAATCAGAATGCAGCATTGACGATAGCCCAATAGTTGTATTTGACTAATAAGAATTCTTTGATTCGTATTTGCAGAACTATTACTCTTGATGAAATTTGTGTGCATCTGAACAAGGGATGTGTCGCAATTGTACTTATTAACAATTTGTCCCTTAATTGCAACTGGTGTGGACGGTCTCTTAATCAATTGAGATACTTAATGCATCGATACTGTGGGAGTTGCAATGAATACGATAGATACATGGGACATTATATTGTCATCTGTGGATATGACTTGGAAAAGAAATGCTTCTATTACAAGAATCCATCATATAATATTGAGCTTTGCTGTGTGTCCTTCAGATCATTTGAACAGGCTTGGCATTGCTTTGGTACTGATAGTGACATATTATTTGTAAATACCGAGAATGCCACAGACCATGAAGCTTATGAGGAACACAATGGCTAGCTGCATGATTAGTTGCATATGGATACTAGATGTGGTGCAACATACTTTTTTCCAGTCATACAAAATCTTCTCTGGTTGTGAATATTTTCTTTATTTTTACATTCTTTTCTTATCATCAACCCCATCAGTTGGTCATAATCAGCTCTTAGCTGTTGTTAAAATTGCTTCTGCTACTCCCCTTATATTTTAGTTACCAGCTCAATGAGTTCGATAATTTATGGTAAGCGGAACATTTTTTTAAAGATTTGGAGTGGAAATATTTTCCTTTTCTAAGTTGTTACTGACCTATGAATACAAAAACATTAATTCTTGAAAACTTTGTAGTTTGCTTGGAAGAAGAGTATTTAAACTTAGTTTCCTTGATTCTATATGGAAACTGTTGCTGTGGTGATTGGCTCACTATTGTTTGAGTCACAACCATGAATTATTAAGGTTGTAGCTGTTTATACAGTAAGATTAGTAATGAAGTTAGACTGCTTTGCATAAGTCATATTTCATAGTGCAACTCAATCTAGATCTTGTTTCAATAATTATTGTTGGAGCATTCAAGGGCCCAACTCTACGTAGAGTACTGGTTGATCATGATGTGCTTAACCAAGCCTATTATTGTTTCACACTTATTTAGATATACACCTATTCCAAAAAAACATTGACTGGAGATTTAAAATCTGACAATTTGCCAGTGCAGGTCATCACTTTTCTTCATATTCTTCGTAGACTCAACTAGCTTTATTATAAAATATAATCTATTACAAGAGTTGAGTAACGACTAAATATTCCCAAAAGTACACTTTAGATCAGGAAATGATATGTATGTTGGGCCTTAAACTCATGGCAACCATGTTAATTTTCCTGAGAATAAAACCTTTGTTCAACTTGCATATTTTTCTCTCAAGAACTTGAATGCAAAGCTATGCGTGGAGCAATCAATTGTTCAAGTCAACATGACTGCCACATAAGAACCATTCCTGAAAGGTTATAAAATTTTAAATAATATATAATTTTAATACGTATTAATAAATATTTATATGATGATATATATTAATAGCTTACCATATTCATAGAACAAATGCAGCAATGGCTGCAATTTAGTCATTTTCTTGTAAAAACTATTTCAGGACAAATAAAGATCTTTAAAACTGTTTTTAGTATTAAGATTGCTAAGAATTTCATAAAGTTTGTGCACAGTTTTTCTTTACTATTTAATGTATCAAGATAACAATAATTATTGCCTTGGGAGCCAATCAAAAGTTAATGAGGCAATGTAGTGGTGTTGGCCTCATTAACTTTTCTCATTAGTATGGACAGGATACGAATATATTTTGGCATAGGATCCCCCCTCCCCTTCCATATGAGTGGAGCCTGTACTTAGGGTCCAATATTGCAATACATGCCTATTGGTTGCCGGTACATACCCTATGCATTTTTCTCATTTCATAACTTTATTTCAGTGTCTCCTTTCAAGTCTAAACTAGGCTTGATTCTTTCACCCTCAAGAATAAAATGAATGCATCTCAGATTCAACCACTTTTGAAATTTTTATTTATTGAAGCTGTCATACCAGTAAACAAACAGCAGTGTTATCCTTAACCTTTATTGTACAAATTCACTGTGACAACCACAAAACAAATTTGTTATTAACAAAAAGCTTATAGTTCATTAATTTTTATCATCAAGGCCTATCTTCAACGACAGTACAATGTCATCAAAGTTTTGCTGATGGATTGCACAGGAGATCATACGCTGGGATGGTCAAAAATTCCTCCATGACATCACTTAGCACCATCTTCTCTAAAAGTTGTGCGGCTTGTGCAAGACGGCCTTTAGAGGGGCCACCAAGCTTGTTCAACTCTTCTCCAAGAAGAACTTTGAAAAGATCAGAAGAAAGTTGTTTGTCATCAATGAAACACCCATGTTTACGCCATTGCCATAGTTGTGCACGAGAGATTTCTGAAGTAGCAGCATCTTCCATCAAATTGTTTATGGCAACTGCTCCAACACCCTGTATAAAATTTAAAAGAATAATCTTTTAAAATTGGTTATCAACCTAAAAATAAGTTATTCCCCTTCTCCCACTTTTAAAAAGAAATTTTTATTATAATGATATGACCCAGACGAATGGTTTTTTGCTCCTCTACATTGCATAATGAGTAAAATAGAGTGAATTCAAAGGGACCTAGGGCTTAAAGATTGTTTTCATGGCAAGCAGCTGAGAGGATCTCTGGCACCAAGGAGTAGCATGGGTAGTGTGCACACCTAATGCCATCTCTCACCAATTCAACCCAGGCTCCATATGTAAGTTGTTTGTTAGTTTTCTCCTACAGGTGCTTCTAGGGGTTTTCTCAGGGTTTTCCTCCCTCCTCAAAAATCAACTTCTAAATTCTAATTTCATCTTTGTTGGGGTTTCACCTTGTATTGTTTGAGAATGACTCAGTTGTGATCGTCCCACCCTGTGATACACAGCCAAAGCTTAATAGGTAGGTGTGGGGTAAGTGCACTTACATCTCACCACTAGGGTCTCTGTTATATTCCATGACTTAAAATTATGTGAGTAAAGTTTGTTGGGTCTCCCACCCTTCATTCAAGGTTTTTAAATAAATTTTTAGGGTACTAATAACCTCCCCCATAGTAAAACAAATGTTAAATAACACTTACCAAAAGCCAGCTGTTGAGGTATTGTAGAGCTACTGAAATATTAACACGTGCCCCCTCTTCTGTTATCTTTCCTCCTGGAACGTTAATAGTGACCAGGTCCTCCACTTTAACTTTGACGTCTTCACGCAGCCGGTGCTTTTGATGGCAGGAACCCTGCATTCCTTTCATAAAAATGTCCTTTGCTACTTTGACCAAATCTGGATGTGCCACCCAAGTGCCATCAAAACCATCAGCAACCTCGCGTTCCTTGTCCTGGGTGATTTTCTCTATCGCAATTTTGTTAATTTCTTCATTTTTTCGGCTGGGTATGAATGCAGACATTCCTCCCATTGCATGGGCACCATGTAAGTGGCAGATTCTGACAAGACGTTCGGTGTAGGCACGCATGAAGGGTACTGTCATGGAGACCTTTGAAAATACAATGAAAGTTAGACTGAAGCATATGTATAGTGGTGAGGATTTCAGCTAGGTTTATAGAAGCATGACATGTGACAGAGTGCTTCTCAACACTTCTCAAGTGTTCTGCCCCAAATGCTATATAACACTGCACACAGCACATGCACAGTAGCTAAGTTTTTTTTAAATTTTCCTTTTACTAATAATTAAAATAATCCTTCTTTTGAACATGATTGATGAATGGCAAATTAAAAAGAAAACACACATACTAGTATATGCTGTATGCTCTCATAGAAGCACATGCCCCAACTATTTCTCCAGAAAGCAAGACTATATTTTGAGAGAGATTTAAAGTGCACATGAACCCTTCGACAATACTTTCAGTACTG